ATGTGTAAAATGGCCAGTTAGGGTATCTCACTGTGACAGTGGTGGTGGACCAGGAGCAAACCCTACTAAAGACACTGGTAAGCTGTACCTGGCACCCGTGTCCTATGATCAGGGACTCAATGCTTACGAAAACTGTAAAACTATAAATAAAATGGTAGCCTAGGAATTACTTGTTCAAAAATGCCCTTACAGTTGCGATCCCCCATCCACATACAGCAATCCCCCGTACTCACGTCATTTTTGTTGAAGTACTTCAGTGCACCTTCCCTCTCCGATAACACAAATTTTCGGCTTAAGAATTGCCCATTGTCACGTCCCCTCTTCCACAGAAATCCTTCTCGGTACCCTGCAGCAGAAAGCAATTGCTGAGAACCAAGGATAAAACACTGTATTTAAAAAAAGAGATAGGGTACAGAAAAGCAGAAGAACTTCGACTTCAAAACTAAGATGACCAAACGTGTGGCTGAATTGCTCGACATGAACAAAACAGGCCTTCTCCTTCAGATTTGCCCTTCTCACTCCACTCTTGCTCTTTTCCAACAGCTTGAGCTTCACAGATGTCCCCGCTCTGACACCGCAATGTGGCAGGCAGAGGGGGATTTCCACTGTGCATCCCACGCTGCAACACAGGCAAAGACTTGAGGAGCAGGGCCGTGTCCCTGCCACAGCTCCCGGCACCAGGGATGCTGCTCAACTTACTCACATAAGTAGCACTTTTGGAGCAAGGAAAAGGCAGTCGAGATCTGTCCTCCTGAGTTGATGCTGCTAAAAAATTAAAAGTGGGGTGTGTGTATGCAGGGAAAGTGGTTCAGGGCAGATGGCTGTATCAGAGCAAGCAAAAAATACGTTTTTCACATGGAAAAAGGGGAAAACGCTTGCAGTTCTTCCCACTGACTTCAAGGCACTTTGGTTCAGAAAGGCACTGAGCCAGACTCGGCATCCTCTCCCCTCGGAGCGGGTCCCTCCAGCCCCCAGGCACCGAGCTCGGCTGGCAATCACCTGCCTCCTCTCTCCCTGGATATCAGCCCCATGGGTGGATTTGCCACTCAGGAAGAACGCTATTCAAAATACACACGCTTTATTTAGAACTCAAAAGAGCCAGAAAGAAAGAAAAAAAAAAGAATCTAAAAATCTTAACTCCTCAAATCAGAAAAGCAATTACAGCTGATCACTGCCAGCACCTCCTGCAGCAGCCACAACACGCAACTTATTTCACAAGTTTAATTGACGCCCTTATTTTAAATGCTTCAAAACAAAGAAACCCCAAGAACTGTCCAATACAAGTTTTGTGAATACTAACACAGCAGTTTGATGGTCATCTTCCATTTACTTAAGATATAATTATACAAGAGTTCCACTGAATAAGTGTTTCCTTTCTCTCTTACTTTCACACTTGTTAGATTTTTGTTATTGGCTCTTGGGAGCTAGGATTTTAAAGTTTAAAATTACATGTTTTATAACAACTTTCAGTTAAGTAACTACATTTTTTTTAATATGTGAAATGGCTCTGGAATCAGCGGGCAGCCTCTCCTTCACCTGCCTTCTATGAACCACTGGCGTGCAGAAATTCCTCAATCAGCCTGCTTTTCACTTGTCCTTCCTGATATAGGATTGATTTAAGCCACAGATGAAAAGATGCAGAAAAATCCCTCAACACTGACTCTATAGCTACAAGCAATATAAAATGTTTCCATGCTATAAAAACCTAAAGCAACAAAAAATGCACACAGACACACATTTAATGATCAGAAAAGACAGGAAGAAGAGAGTGATAATGACAACGGCTAAAGATGCTAACCAAAGGGAAAGCGCCCATCGTACCTTTGCTGATAGTGAAAATACCGGTTTCTTCTGTCTGGACTTAGAAAACCTTAAGTCAAATACTTTGTCCAGATCCTCAAGGAGACCTTTACTGAACGCCAGGCAATGCCATCGACGTCTGCCATAAATGAGTGCAATGGCAAAGCCCGTGCTGTTGGCGATGCTGAATGCTAACCACAGAGAGCATCGCAAACCCAGCCGACGCATCCAAGGGCTGGCACGCGGGGCTGCGCACGGGCTGGTAACTCGATGCAGATGGAAGTGGTGGAAATATTTTAAGCTGTCAGCATGTTTTCCTTTGTTTCTTTATTCTATACAGGGCACATGCTGCAGGGCTGTATTTTAAAAGGCAGGGCCTCACCCTGCTCCCCAGAACGGGTGTGCGCTGCCACCCAGGAACCAGCACAGGTGTTTTCATTTCAGAGCCTGCAGGGATCCCCCCTCATGCATTATTTACAGCTCGCTCGCATGAGAGAGCCAGCACAAGCAGAGTGTGCACCTCTCCCCCCGTGAGATCCAGCAGTCCCCGCTGTCCGCGCTCCCATGAACCTACCGTTCCCCACGGCCAGGCCGACCCGGCAGCAATCGAGTCCACGTCACTGCCCAGAGATGCAGACGAGACAGCCCAAACCCTCAGTTATCACATGGCCACAGGCAACCGGTGATGCCACAGCACTGTTCCCTGTTCCACCCCTGAGCCCTCCCCATCCCTCCAGTGCAGGACAAGTGCTCCACCCCACGCAGAGCATCGTCACCCATGTACAGCGGCAGCTGTATGCATGTACACCATCCCAGTAACCCAGAGGATCGATACCAGATGTACAGAATCATAGAATCGTTTAGGTTGGAAAAGACCTTTAAGATCATCCAGTCCAACCATTAACCTACACTACCAAGTCTACTCTAAGCCAATCAAGGGTAGACTAGACTAAACCATATCCCAAAGTGCCACGTCTACCCGTTTTTTGATCACCTCCAGGGATGGGGACTCCACCACCTCTCTGGGCAGCCTGTTCCAATTCTTGACCACCCTTTCTGTAAAGAAATTTTTCCTAATTTCCAACCTAAACCTCCCCTGGCGCAGCTTAAGCCCATTTCCTCTCGTCCTATCACTAACTACTTGGGAGAAGAGCCCAACACCCACCTCACTACAACCTCCTTCCAGGTAGTTGTAGAGAGCGATAAGGTCTCCCCTCAGCCTCCTCTTCTCCAGTCTAAACAGTCCCAGTTCCCTCAGCCGCTCCTCATAAGGCCTGTGCTCCAGACCCTTCACCATGTATCCAAGGAATTATAGGTCTGAAGCTCTTTCTTGGGTCCACCCATTCAGCCAGCCAGCTTGGAAGAGACTTCCCCAAAGCCACAAGCAGAATTGGCTAATTCAGTCCATCAATTCAATCCCATCCCAACTGTGGGCTTGCTATGTACTTTTTCTAGTGAAAAGGCACAGCTAAGCCATTGGAGGGCACTTGTGTCAGAAAGAGAAGAACCCACAGAGAGCAGGATCGTCCAAAGTCTGAGCAAGGGGAAGCAGCCAAGAAAGCCACCAAAACCCAGCCAAGGGCAGCCGCATCCGACGACAGCATGGCAAGGGCCCAGGCTGATGCACTCGTATCACTGCCACAGTAGGAATTAATTGCCTGGGAACTGAAGCTCTGATTCAGAGTCAGATGCTGCTACCTGCCAGGCTCATATCAGCAAAAATGCTACATAACCTATAGTGGGCTGTACATGATGGAGCTGAATAGGAATAATGTCTCTCTGACAGGAGTCAGACAGACAGTAGGTGATGCTCAGCTGATACGTTTATAAAATGCAAGATTTGCTTAATGTGAGGCAGAGATACTGCCGGGGCTCTGATGGCTGGCGTTTGCCGACTGCTCTCTTGAATGGCAAAACACTAAGCAGCTTGCTTTCAAAGTGTGCGGTTTAGAAACCAAGGACAGACAGTTTCTGTTCCCGAAAGGTGCTGATTTTTAACACCAAGCCAGTCAGAGCAACTAGACAGTACTTCAAAAGCCATTTCTATTCACTCCGCTAAACGGCAGAGATGGTTTCAGAGCCTCTCCACCACCTCTCCATGGCTGGCATTTGGGGAACACTAACATCTCATAGGCAGCTGGAGAGAGCTGGGTTTGGAGGAAAGGAAATCGGTGTTAAGCAAGAGAGAGGAGAGACAACGCAAGGAAGACATCTCCAAATGCAAAAGCAGGGTGATGCAGAAGGAAAGCCCAACTTTTCCTTCAGAAATCCCCACCTGGGGTTTGCTCGGCTCAGCGGAGCTCGCTGGGCACACAGAGCTCAGCTCTCAGTGGATCCACCTCGGAGCAGCTCAGCTCCGCAAGTCTTGGCTGTGGTTCTCATCCGTTCATTCATCTTGAGTGTTTCATTACAAACATCTGAATGGCAAAGGATGCTGCAGGCATTCCTTGTTAAATTTGTTCCCCTCCATAACACATTTTTTGTGATTTTTCTTAACACTTAAGGGATGAAGAATAAAATGACTCTGCATTTCCCCAAAGAGGATCTCAAATAATTGCAAATCTGTAAAGTCCACCTAACGCTCACCCCTGGCAGATGGGCATCATAATGGTTACACACAAAGAGAAGGAAGCCCAGAGAGGTTTGGTGAACTGCCCAGGACAAGACTGTGAACCAGTGTCAAAGTCAGGCTGGAAACCCAGCTTTCCCTGCCCTCTTACATAGGGACATTTCATCATTTTGATCTTCTCTTTCCAACCTTTCATGGCAAAACACAGTATCCAAATTCCACTCCAAGGAAGAATTAAAAAAAAACCCAACACAACACTTAAGTGTTACCCCTTTCTATAGTTCACATGCTGGCTCTTCCCAGACCAATCGCCTCTGCAAAGGAGCTCCTGGCTGCTCTGGTAAAGCCAGCTGCTAATTTCACTGTACTTTGGCACAGATTTTCATAAATCCTTTGCTTGCTTCTTTTCTTTCTTCCTTCCTTCCTCCACGGCTGCATCCTCAGGAGCTGTTCCTCTGCTCTGCCCAAACCTGCTGCCTACACCCCTGTCAACACCGATCAGTGCAAACCACCATGAACTGGACTTGAACCCAACATGAACCCATCCAGGTTCCCCAGGCAAACAGCATGTCAGCAAGATGTGTCCTCAATGTCCTGATCTAAAGGACTGTGAAAACAGCTAGAGAAGGTGTGGAGAAACAAAACTGAAGGAGGCTGAACAGGGAACAGATCTCACACCGGAGGGCATCGGAGTCGGAGAACTAAACCATCTCTTCCTCTCAGTCTCTGTGGGCTGCACTATGTTAGCAACAGCTTTGTATTTAGAGGTATCTGGCCAAATTCAGGTCTTCATGAAGGCTGTTCTGCTTATGTTGGCGCAAAATGACTGCTAGCCCTACAACACTTGCTGATTGCTGGTGTTGGACCATGCAGCATTGTGTCGCCAACACATTTGCTTCCTCTCCCAAGGTGCAGAACAAGGGATGCAGCCGCCTGTCGTCATCCTTCTTGATCACCAACACCCAACCATGACTGCA